CTGTATGCAACATTGGAACAAACTCTCTGAAATTCTACAGCTACATAAGAGCAACGAACTGAACCAGTCTACTAATACAAGTGGAATTCGTCATGTTTCTGAACAAGAACTGAACATAATGCGCTCAGCTTATCGAAGATTAACATCTGTGATTCGTCTAATATTTTCGTTTACAGCCTGTTTGTCTATGCTTTGGGATATTATGTTTCTTTCAACAGTAATCTATTTTCATACTATGCCATCAAAGCTTTTGGGTACCGCACTCGGTGTCGCTTGTTGGTTCCTATTTTACCGAGTCATTTTTCGCAGTTGCCCGACTGGATATTGGGGTGGGTTTGCTCCTGGACTACCCGGAGATGGTCCAATTAAATTTGTACTTAATTAGCTTCTCCAACAAAATATGAATAGTAACTGTTTGTATAGAATATCACAATTTTCGCAAATACTTTAGTTTAACGTTTCGGTACTCATCACTCTTACGTTCTTCTAAATATTTTTTTTCAGTATGTTGTCATGTTGACTGATGAAATCACTGATTTTGAGCTTTTATAACCACTCATATTGTACTGCCGTTACTTTCAAATATCAGAAAACAAAATCCTGGCTTGTAACCATATAAAATACGGTTTTATTGCCATTACGTACCAGTCCCGAGGTTTGGTGAGAAGCGATCGCGTTTACCGTAATGAGAAGCTTCATGCCAGCTGCTCGGACATGTTTATGTAGCTAGAAATAGAAGACCTACGAAAAAAGTGCACATGTTTGTTTTATATTGATTTTTGGTGGAATTGTGAATATCATGAAGTTAAACGTTGTGTAAATTAATAAATATCTATCTAATCGTCATATTCACCTCGAGATTTCATCGAAAGTTGGTATGCATATATAGAAGTAAATGAGCCGAAAATCTCAACATGTAAACCAATTCTTCTACCAACCACCAATGATTAGGTTATGTAGAGTTTCAAACTTACGTTCTGGCAACATTTTCCACCAGCAGGACCCAAAACATATACTAAAAATATTGATTTTTTTCACTTAGTACATCAATAAGCTTGTAATTATAGTGTAGGAGTATATTTTTCCTACTTGACTGTATAGTAAGACGTAAAAACTTTGTTTAAATGCTTCTGGTTTTTTTTCATAATATCATTTTGCAAACATGTGGTTGTTTTAGTATGCAACGGGTTATTCATTAGGAAAAATTGTTGGAACAATTACCAATAAATTGATAGGTGTTCATTAGATATGTTCACGATGAAGTACCTGGACATGAAACTAGGTTAGATATGCACCTTGATTGACTAGCCTTCAATATCAACATGCATCCACAGAATTTCTCAGTGCAATTTGAAACGAGCCAGAAACTAACCGTAAAGTCTTAATCCAAGAAGTTTAATTCAACCTATATGTTAAGTTTCCAGAAATAAACAGACACTAGCTATTGGAATCTTCAGTTCAGTTGTGTAACTATTGGGTCATTAGTTCGGGATATCCTCAACTCACTTTCCGTTAGGCAGTTCAATGATGTCACAACGTTTTACATGGTGTAATACCTGGCGGTACAAAAATGTGTACTAGTTTACTTATTTCCCTGTCAGATAATCGAACCGAACTGTCATCAATAGTTTTCATGTGAAAACTCCTTAATATGGTAAGCACATGAAGTATAACAAGTCTTTCTCCTTGTATACATGTATTACTTTGTAGGACAACTATATCCTAACATGTCTGTGCTCTAATTTTATGAACTTAAAAATGCCTATGATATTCTATTTTAGATTATCATGGTCACTAACACTTCCTGCTAGTGTTTTATATTTTCACATGTGTTTAAGTTTGTATAAGTATTGCTAAATTTGACCTAGTGGCGTTCAGTGTAGATTTTAATTCTTCAAAGTAATACTGCAAAGCCTGTCTTCATGCTACGGTATTATTGTATCATATATACATTATATCTAGCGGAAATGGAAAGCCTTAAGTTATGGGATCGAAATCAATACCTCGGACTTCGGCTGAGAGTTCGATATTATTCAGCTATCAATTCAGTCGCTCACATATCTTTGATAGGTAGTTGCGGATCATGATTTGCACAGGTTAACAGGTTGACTGTAAACGCATCTGTATAACATAGTATTTATCTTGATTAACTTAGTGTTACAAGGTGTATACTAGTTCGTAAGTTAAGTGGTGGCTTGGCTTTTAACCAATAGGCAACAAGTCCGACCCCACCACACCTCTAGTTTAGACATCTCCATAACAAAACTAAGCCTTTGACAGTATTTTTAGAAACCGAGTACATAAACTCTTCCTTGGCTAGTGAGTTATATGGAGTTAATTAATTAGATCAATCTCACTGAGATAGGATATAATTGTATTATTAGCAGTAACATCAGAACAGCTAAATAGTCTAGCAAGAAAACTTTTATCATTCATGAATTGGTAAGAATTTCCTCTATCATTTAAGGTAGAGAGAGTGATTATTTGCAAAACCTGAATCGGTTGATAGTCTGTTAGGCAAGTGTTATATTAGCTATTAGCTACTCACCAGTCAATACATTGCACTTTGACCTACATTTTTTACGTGACTTTTAAATACATTACTTTAACGCAAATTCGATTCAGTGCATACAAGTTGAAGAATTAGATGTTATTTGCTAAATAGACAGGCGAGTCTACACTGAGTTTGCTCCCAACAAACATACGGGATTCCAATTGTGACCCGAGTAACTCAGCAGCAGTGTAAATTACTGTGATAGATTTCAATACCCTGAGGATAATCAGATACATCAAGGTTGCAAATGTGCCTCAGTGATGATTGTTGTCTAGCACGAAACAGACTCAGGACCTCTCACTAGGCCTCATGTCTAAAAATATTTAACTGGTGTACAGTTTCTAGACCGTGTTCTTCTTAATTATCCTACTTTTTAAGTTTGTTTTATCATTGAGACGAAAGACTTTTTAATGCTTCTTTTTTTTATTACCCTCAAAAACTAGTGAGCCTAAAATGGGGAGTGATTTTACAAAACGAAATTCCAGGTAACGTATAGTCGTATAATGCAAATTCCAAAGCTATCTACTGTTTGTCCTGATTTTAACCTAAATACAAGATAAAAGTAGTAACAACAACTAACGTTTAATTAAAGAAAAATCAGGCGCTGTCCGGTAATTATGAGGTTTTCCTGATATCGGAGACTACTAAACGATATTTTACATTAGAACATTGTTGATTATCAACTACCGATTTCTTCCAAAGCTCTGGTTAATTATGTTCGTTATGCTTCCGATGCACACTTATATATCGATGTCACTGTTTGTTTAACATAATTTGTACTACAGAAATCTGGAAGCTCACTATAAGATAATAAGTAGAAAGCTCTCATGGGGTCTTCAATGAAGAAAATAAAATGCTTTCGGTGAGTGTGAACTTAGCTCCCAATTAACAAGTAGTGGCTTATTCCGTATTTATACCAGTCAATTGTTTGATCTGACTGCATGCTTTAGCATGATAACTACCATATCGTGTCAGATTTAACCAATTTCACGACATTCAATCTTATTGAGATGAGTGGTTTTGTGAAAAACTAATATTATGGTTTTGAGGAAAATTCCGTTGCGATAAACCAATAGCTGAAAGATGATTTATTGAACCTCTGTCCATCAAGTCAATGCCCAACGCATGCAGTAAATATTTCTAAAACTATACCACCGTCAAACTGCGGAATGTCGTCCGTCAGAATAGTAAGAGGATTTGCCCAGTAACTGGGATATAATTTTAAACAAGATGTGTGTGAAATATCAAACAATTTCATATCACTTTGCTATATATCTCACAAGCAAGCAATCATGGTGTTATACGGCACAAACATCTCCGCAGATTGTTAGTTGCAGACGATATTGATTCTGAAAGTTTAGCAATTATAGGAGGTTTTAGGGATAAATATGAATTGGACTGGACTAATAGCATTCGTTTAGGGTGCGGTATCAAGAATCTTAGAACAACATAGAAACAACGTTCAAATTTATAATTCGCACTAAACCACACAGTGGAGATCCCTCCACACCTTAAACCTGTCGTCCCATAATGTTAATTTTAAAAGTGGCATAGCCGGTTAGGACTATTTTGAAATGGATATGAGATGATAATTTGTGTGGTGATTACACCCGTGTAATGACAATAAACTCTAATAATTATCCTATCACTAGTCTACATCGAATTCCAAACTTGATTACAATAATAGATAGTTTGTTTCTCAGCATACTTTGTCTCTATATATTAGAAAAAATATACAAATCAATATACTGAGGACATATTTCGATAGTACTTAAAACAATTACTATCTTTTTTTATATCTATGGTTATATCTTCAAAATCCAGTTGGAAGGAAAAAAGCCGCAGTCGTCTCAATCTCAGCCACAATTCTTAGAGGGCAAGATTTCGCAAATCAATAAGAATAATACGGTACCACGGAAAAATTTGCAACCAAAATAAATTTGGAAATATGTTCAAAACTCGCAAGTCATTTAACTCCAATTCCATAAAGTATCATCAATAACTGGAGTATTGACACCGAGGATCGGCTATGTTTGTTATCTAACTCAGGAGTTTTGCGAAACCGTATGATCTGTTTATAATAGTCCTTCTTTAGGACGTATGTTAAAGACACTAGGGAACAATACTCAGGGACTGAAATCTTGCCACGTATATATTAAAGTAAAAGGTCAGTAAAATGGAGGTCTGTATTTTTGGTTCCATCTTGACTAATGTTTTCTGGTGGTTAATTACTGTTAGGACCCAAGTTGCCATAGCACTAGGAAAGCTGGATAAAAAAATCAACAAAATGAGCACAGAAGCAATAACAGTAAGTGCGACGAAAAGCCACTGTACGTGTGCCTTACGCAACATGTAATGGTCGTCAGTACAGAGGGAACGAAGGGATTAGCGGCGGCCAGATATGGTATCAGTCCACAGAGTCACTAACTTTTGAACTAGGATATGTGTGGGGAGGTCTACACCTCCTCATTCAGGCTTAACAGATAACTGTTCAAAGTCTGGATGATAAAGCAATAAATTAGTTGCAGTTCTCATTCTTCTTACTCTTGAGTTTAGCATTATTACGTAGTTTATATTAATGAATTAATTCATATATTTCAAATACTCATCCAGTTTAGTTTGTCCACTGCTATTTTCATTCTGACTCCTCTTTGTTGAATTTCTCAGATAATCCAATGTGGTAACGAGCCGGTACATATCCATGTCTTAAGTTATTTGCGGTCAGTTTCAGAGCATGAAAACCCAGGGATGAGGCAACACACTCAAGAAAATGAACTATTTTATTGGTAAAATTGACAAAAAATTATGCCACAAGGAATTCGTTACATAATTAAAACCCTGTAAAATTAAATAAATGTATCATAAAATGAAGCTATAAAAATAGTTGACGCAGAGTAAAATTCAGTGAAATGCACAAAATGAATCTTGGTATAGAATTGGAGAGCAATAAATATGTACAAGATTATACACAAATTTTTGTAAGTAGTGGATGTTCTGATCGGAACTTAGTTTACATGCTATTTAATGTTAAAACTAAGCCTATTTTAATCATCAACAGTTAGATCAATTGAAATATCAGAAGATAATACGGGAACAGACTGGCCTAATATAGCGGCTGTGACTGGACCAGGAGCTTGCGGATGCAAAGATTTCTCTTTTGGCCAAGGAGTAACAGGTTTGATGTTATTTACTGAGTGGGTTTCATCGATGTTAGTTAAATTATATGAATTGAGCAGAGTTCCCTCAAACGAAATACTGTTAGTGATCGGCTTGTAACATATATTATTCATTGCTTGTATATCTTTGGAAGCTCTTTCGCTGTTATTTACAAGAATGATTTGAGAAGTGTCTGAGGTATCGGAGGAAGTAGTGGATGTTTGTATTTCGAATGTCGAGTGGTTAATTTTTTTTAACCTTCGTTTAAGCTTCCCAGCTCGTCGTCTGTCAAGGGATATTATACAATTATCTGGTTCGTCGGATACTTCATGATTTTCTTCACTATTACAATGAGACACAATATCTTTAGTAGGAGAATTAGTAATAGCATTATCCGGTAGGTAAATACACACTTTTTTAACAGATTTTTCTTTCGACTGCTTTTTACACATGTCAGTAGATCCTACTAGCTCACTCGTTTTATTATTAACGAAACTGAAATTATTACTAGCCTTATTTTCTTCTAGAGGAGGACATGAACATCTTTGTGATTTAGCAAAAGCATCTCCCGAAAAGGGATTCATTGCGTGATGATCACAAGTTTTGGAATTTGTGGAGACTGGGTCGTATGAGCTTGAGGAAATGGGTAGATCAGACTTCGAACCTGAGATGGGAACACTTTCATCTAGCGAACCATTCCGATCGTGAACATCTCGTGGGGGCTGAGAAAATTTGGACTTTGAGTTCTCAATATCAGCATTCTTGGGAGAAATAGTAGGAAAAACTCTATTTTCAGTGATGATATCTTTATCACAAATGGATGGAGATGTATGTGGGGGTATTTTAGCATGTCCATTACAAGTCTTTTGTAGTGAGTTCGATAAGGTTGATGAGTTTGAAATGACTGTATTTGCAACATTTGGAGATATGATCGGATGATTTACTACAACTGAAGACTGATCTGAATAGCCGTTCTCGATTTGATTGGTATCGCATGCTATCAAGTTCTTGAAAGTTGGTGTATATGATATTCGTACATTGTTCTGAAATAATGGGTCATTATCTTGAGAGACTGTGAGTAAGCACTCGACAGGTGGTGAAATATCATCTGTAATCTGATAATCTTGATTAACATTAGTCTCACTATGAGCATTACAATATTGTGTATCAACTGAATAGGCATCTTTTTTTGATTCATTGTCACTCAAAATGGATGTAGGGTGATTCTGGCAAGGTTCACACAAATTTTGAACACATGATTCCACCAGTGTTGCTTCTTTAGACGATTTTTTATTGGTGTCTGTTAAATCAAACTCCAGACTACTGTTACTGACGTCAGTAACTAAAGGATTACTTACACTAACAAAAGATGAATCATGGTAGTTAGTTTCTCTAATATCTGAGTTCAGCAAATTCGAGTTGTTTTTTAAAGTCGGCTGAGTAAGTAAATTTTTAGTAGTTGATAATTTTCCAGTAGTTCGATGACTGCGAAGATCTGATGATGCAAACGTGGATGTATTTGTCGTGCTATCAACTGGAAGAAATTGGTCAGAAGGGGTGAAAATATTTATATCAGGTGGACAGCTAGGAAAATGATAACTGACAGTTTGCGGTACAGGAGATTTAACACTTAAATCTGAAGTAACACTAACCTGCTCACCAGACAGCGTTTCACAAACAAAATTATTGCTCGGTGAAAAATGACATGCACCAGCCTTATGGCTTTTATTATTAACGATGGAAGGTAATTCTGTTTTTAGGTTAGAACTGGATATTCTAGTCGAAGTATCTTGCGAAAATGTCAGTTTTGAGTAGACAAACTCCTGTGTATCATTGCTGAGAGAACTAACGTTCTGATTGGTGTGTTCCTGTGAGTTTGTTTGGACTATATGTTGAGTAAGAATAAAACTGGGATGAACTGGTGGCCAAGACGATAACGAAATTATGCCAGGTTCTTTCAGAAATAAATGAGATGAATTATTTTTGGAACCATATGGAATACTTAAAACAGGACATGGTAACTTCAAATTTCTATATAGCCACTGACAATTCCAGCATTTAGCAAGTATCTTGAGAAGGTTTATCATTTCGTTACCAATAGATCTTAATTCTGTTTCATGCTGACGTCGAGCCCAAACCTCAATTACATCATACTGGCTTTGCAGTGACGAAAAGAAATACTTCAAGTCAATATCAGCACGTGAATTAACTTCAGTGGATAAACCTTTGTAAGCTGGAATCCAAGAATTAGTAATGGATGTATAGGTCTGCGATAGTTGATTCTTGAAAGATAACACTTTTTCCATAACTAAATGAAGATGTCTAGTTACATCAATAGTTAGATATTCTAATAGATGAAAAGATGTTTCAATAAAGAGAGAAAAGTTAAACTTTGGTATTACATTTGACAAATGAACTAATTTTTTCACATATTTGAGCGACTCGACAACCCATTGTTTGGAGTTTAGTAAAGTCAAGTTTCCGTCATTGCAAGACATAATATTCTGATTGTAAAATGGACCAAATAAGAAAGTATTTCCAGTTAAGTGACGTAAACTATGGTATATACGTTCCAATAGGTTTATTAGATTAAGAATATGAGGGTTAACCTCTTCATTAAATATGCGACCAATATTATCTCGAGCAACGGCTTCTGATTCGAAAAGACGTGCGCGACCTCGAGCAATACGTAAATAAGACAGTTGCTGAGTATCGTTACAGTGGGTTTTTGAAAGTTCATATCTTGCTCTTAGACAGGCACCAGCTGACATAAGCGATGCATAAGAATCACGTAGTCTGCACAAACAAACAGATACAGCTTGATGTAAATGTTGCATGATAATGAACAAATTAACGGATAACTGTTCATTCAACGGGACATTCAAATTATAATGCACACTAGGCTTGGTATCAGTGAAAACATGAATGCAAGTGTTATGAAAAGAATTAATAAGCAGTCCAAATCCTGCAATATGATAAACGGGCAAACCAAAATTCGTTTTCAATATAGTTGTAAGTGATTTTGGAAGACAATCAGATAACTTTGTATACAATTCCAAATCATGATGGCCACTATGTAGGTTATCAAGTGATGAACATTTCGTAGAATCGTTCTCGTTTGTTCGCATTATTGGCAACAATGAAAACGCACTTGGCATTTGTCCAGGTTTAATAGAGAAGGTTTTTGCAAAGCTTAAAATACGCTTTTTTGCATCTGGTTTAAAAATTAAATATGATAATGTATGCAGTAACATTTTTGGACAACAATCGTACCAAGTTTCATGTAATGGCAAACAACTATACGTAACAGTTAATATTTCTTTTAAAATATTATCAGAATACCAGTGTACAATAAATAGTGGAGTAGATTTTGAAATGGTGCATGAATAGTGTGGTAAAGAAATCGATCTTAACGGTGATAAACCAGTTGATGTATAAATATGAATATCACCTGAAGGTATTCTACGACAATAATGTCGACAGTGTTTTAAAACATTTCTTAAAACTAATTGATTTCTACGATTTACTAGTAATAAATATAAAATTCGTAAGACATCTCCAAGTAACAAATGAGATTTCATTTCACTTCTAAAATAGAAAATTTAAAAGTAAAAAGTTACTATTAGAAATTATCGAAATATCTACTTTTAGATAAAGGAGGCTTTCAGATTAATTCCCATAAAACTTATTAAAAAGAACGCATGTTATATGAAAATGTTCGCTGCTCACTTAAAGCAAGAGGGTTCGGTGTTAGCAACTTCAATTTTAAATGGTTTATAAAAACTAGATTTTTGATTCATTTTCCTTGACCAATAAAATCTATTTGATTGAAGTCATTTTATTAATGTTAACTAGATATGAACATGCGAAAATGTCGACCATGGATTTTAAACAACGGTAGAAAATTTTGGAAAGCACGCAGCTAACGAAACCGATATTATTCACAAGAAGGTTATGTATAACTGGTTGCAAGTAATTGCCCTTTGGGGGGACTTTCAAGTGGTGTGACTAACAATTAAATGCAAATTACTAGCATAGCACTTAGGATAATTATATATCCCAAATACAACCACCAACTTATTCAAGTAATTGCTGAACTCTTGCAATATTGTGATACATAGCTAGACGCTAGATAGTACCTGGTACGATATTTCTGTTTACACAGCTACTGATACAGTACTACAAGTGAGATTTAGTATTGAAGTAACTTTTTCCATGTTGTCATCTGACAGTTATTACATTAATTAATGGTTAGCATCTGAGTAAACAGGACCTTCTTCCCAAACAATGATAAATATACATGACAAAATATATAACTGATGAAATTAAGATTGGTGGCAGTGTGGTGTGTGCTACTTATACTGACATAAGTAGTATATGACGTTACTCGTGAACAGAAGGTCTGGCAGCAGAAAGACAAAGGGATCGAACAGTAAAGAATGGAAACAGAATGCGACTTGTATGAAAATGCAAGAACAATGAAGTCTGAGTCATTATGAGAGAACTGATGGACATTTTCAAATTACGTATTTACTATTTGATTGTTAGATTTTATTAACAAGTCCTGTAATTTTGAGTCAAATACATTTGATTGTCCCCACTGGTGTTCTTGTTCACTACAGCAGCACTGTTTAAATAACAGCATAAAATGCTGACATATTTATCTAAACGACTATCACCAATATATGACACAGTAATGTAATTATAATATGAAGTGAGATTTTCATTTGAAATAATAACAAATGTGATAGATCACGAAAAACAAACTGACAAAGAAATTCCTGTGAATTATCATAAACTAGAAAAGAAGAATGAGTAGGGAAAGCTCACTTTTCATATCTTGATGCATAAGTATAAACCCAATGTGGAGTCTGTGATAGTTTCGCTTCTGGATCTCTATCGAAATCAAGTGAAGAAACTAATCGAATTCCAACAGAATCTTCTGTTGACCGCAATTTCCATTTCTAGTGAATAATATAAGTAGGGAAGGAAAAAAGAAATACTGTTTAAGGAATAAGAAGAAAAGGAAAACTATTTACATATTTTGATGAACAAAAGTTTGAAGAACATTTGACCATTTTATCCACAAAGTGTGTTTATGATAAGACGAAAGAGAAATGTATGGATTTCGTCTTTACATTTAAAGATTAATACATGTACTGTCAGCGGTATTGACTTTGAGGATATTTTGAGGAAAAAAAGTAGTTGAAGGACTTACATACTGTAAGTATTAATCCCAAGGTTGGACTTTGTAGTTTCAAATACACCGAGCATTAGGTAGAAAGTTAATAATAAATACATTTTATTGTTATATCCCAGCAAGTGGAGAATTGCATTTCTAATGTTTCGTGACTTAATATGAGCCACTTCTTCGGTTATTTATTTACTCCGAGGAAGTGGCTTACATACAGTCATGAGACATCGGAAATACAATTTTTCACTCATTGGGATATAACAAAAAAACTATTTATTATTACACACTGATTAAAAAGATGAGAAACAGATAATAAAATTTACAGTATGGGGTTATGGAGATTATTGAATTTCATTGAAATCATGAACGACTGAAAACCTGGAAGTACTGGACGGTCCTTTCATCCGTGTATAACACACAGTAACAATAATTCTGCTTTTATCCACTATGTATGAGTGCATTGATTTGGCAAAAATTTTAGGCTATTATGATGTTAATTTGAAGTGTGATAATTTGCCTCATAGATATATATAGTATACACTTCATTTTTACTTAACCAGTGATAGGACATTGCATAATAGGACTGTAAATCAATTGTTCTATAACTATAAACGAGGTTCTAAACTTGTTCATAAAGTTGTATTTCAAAATACATCAAATCAACTACTTAGGCATGTTTTCTATTCGATTATCGTATAAAATTGTTTTGCAGAAATATAGTTAGCTTTCGATAAAACATAAAGATGTTGGATATATCAAATGCAAAGAAACAGATCACTTACATAGTTAGGGGTAACTTGGGACCTGTATAATGTAGACAGTCTGGTTGTTTTCCGGAGATTCTTAGAAAACTGATGAGATCGGTGACGAAGTTGGCGACTTTTAAGAACACAAGGATTTTTGTAATGTGGTGTGGCTGTAAGAGAGAGGGAAATCATTGAGATTGGTGGTCAAGTTTTAGCCATTAGGGAGAAATAGAAAAGTTTGATGTTACATGTGGTGTAATACGCTTGTGGCTGGTAATCATTTCGAACACATTCTTACAATAACCACTAACTTTATTGAGTATGTTTATATCATTAATCCAAAGTGAAGCAGGTACTGAACGTTTACTCCTACCCAATTTATCTACAATTCATTTGAACATTACAAACATTCACTATTTATTTTGAAACATATTATTACCTTGTATTTTATGGATTTAACTGAGATCCACAAATTTCTTCGCGTACCTTAGTTTTAGTATTCGATACTATTGGATGTTTTAATTTATTATTAAGTAGTCCTTAATGAATGAGATCAACATTATATCATACTTCACTAGTTTTACAAAGATTTTTTTGATTTATTAATCAAAATTGAAATACTTTTTTGTTTTTATAGGACTAGGGCTTCGACCAAGTCGTGTGCTATCGGTCATACCCATTTGACCATTTAAGTAACTAGAACTACGTAACAACAAGAGTATATTAAGACAGAAAGTATGAAGTAAGCAGAAGTGGTTCCTACAACATAATTTATTCACTTATACAGTGTATCAGATTGCGTCTGTCTTCACAAGCTAACCAATCACAGAATACACTGACTAGGCACCAAATTAAAATTGCAGTAATGAATAAATGAAGTAAAGGTGGCATCTATTTTGACAGTTTACAAGCGAGTTGATACATGAAACGCTCAATACATCTATTAGTCACTGCTTACGGAACACTAAATAACGAGATACAGATCTCGTCATATCAATTGCCTTTCTGATAACGATTCATAACAAGAATTTGCAGTCGATTTACTTGCTATATTTTATATCTGCTGGAAAATTCTAGATTTATAAGTAATCAGGTATTATTAAATAGGTTAAATGTTAGGTCCATGTCGCCTTTGTTGAATCCGCAATCCTACTGCACGTATTCGGAAACCAGAACCATTGTAATTTCTATGCCACAAGCAAGAACACAAAAGATTGAGGCACGTAGAGATTTATTGACTAATCAAAAAGATGTCCCCAAAACAAGTCGTTCAGATGCATTCACAACATACACCCATTTACGTGCTGACTTTTAAACACAATAGTACCAGATATAAGGAGAAATACATAGTTCATTAAAATATATAAAAGTATTCGTACATAAATTAACAATATTATCCCACTTTTCAAAATACGTATGCACATATAATGAAAGTATTTTTATGCATATCGAAATACAAGAAATAATATTAACTACAGAGAGAACTATTGAGAAGATACAATTACCTACTGTTGATTGTAGACATATGTCAGCTTATTTCACAATAAGATCTATATATGAGATAATTGTAATCAACTGCCAAAGACCCTAAATGTTATCATCTGAAAACCGATTATAGTAGTATAGATGAGTCTGATTATTATCTTTCTATAAAAATTGAATACTGTAATATTTTATCCATCTTATTTGCTATATTTACTTATTATTTATTTAAAGACATAAACATTGGTATAAGGATGCACCAAATAGATATTCGCCACACAAATCATTCGATTTGTGTGAGGGCTGGATACTGCCCGTTTGCCCAAACCGAAGCAGGTGGTTTCCTTAGTGGCCACACCCGGAGCCGTCGACCTAAAGGTCTAATCCACAAGGCAGTAGAGCAACATAAGGAGATGCAATCCCATGGTAGCCGGTGACCAACGGTTGGTTCATACGCCATTTGTTCCTTCACGATACTGGAGCCCATGTGCACCACTGATTTGCAATCAGGGTTTTCCAACTCCTCTAGGTGAACCCTCCGTGTCCACCGACCCAGTTAAAACGCTGGACATTCTCTTTTCGCCCTCTCAATTTCGTAAACAACACTCCCGCCACGAGTTAGTGGTTGTATGCACGTGACCACGTGAGAGCATTTCGAGAGAGAGGGATGACTCTCCCCACTCTAGGCCGTATCAGGGCATTTGGGGGCAAAATTGTGACGCGCCGGGAGTCGAACACCGGGCCGCCTGGCTGAGAGCCAGGAATCTTAACCGCTAGACTTACTTAGGTCTTCCGTTTTTCTTCTTGAAGTTTCCCACTGCTGTTAGTACCTTTATTTCATTCGTCGAAATTTTGATGTCTTTCCGCTCTGAACTGATGATTGATGTGTGATCAAAGTTAAAATAATGCATATTTATGCCATGTAGAGGTCAAGAGACTACTAGAAATAAATTGAGTGAGATTTACATCAGAAACCTAGCATTTAAAAATGGTACTTAGAATATTAAATCGGAGCTACACTGATTGTCGGGTCTGCAGAATGGAGCTGCAGTGAAAGTCGAGTTGTGCAATCCTTGGAATATAAGCGAAACTCTTTCATTTACAAGTGCACCAATATATCTTCCAAAAGCATGGATTATACTATAGCCACTTACATAGTTGGTTTCATATTAATGATAAAATATACATATAAATATTCATTACCTACATGGACCACATTTTTCCTCTTCATCCTAAAAATAAAAAGGACAAGATAAACAGTAAGGTTTAACAACTATACAATATGGTGGTTACAATGTATAAAAACTAATAAAATCGCATACATCGTTTTTCTTAGTGATACATATTTAGAATTAGACTTAATATTATTTACCTTAATTGAACTCAGCAAAGTATCAGAGGGACGGGTGATAATTAGGATCTAGTTGATAAGTGGTGTTTCGACTCTGGCACAGCATAAAATTGAGATCTTCGGGAAAGAGATCCTAATTTCACAGGTTCGTGAAATAAGAGCACAGAATAGACTGATAGAGAACAAATTTACAGTGCTTAACTGGGATTTCTAAAAAGTGCATTTACGCTTTAGAATAGATCAACATCGAAAATGTTTTAAAAACAGCTGCTATATTTGCCTGTTGATCGATAGACATTACGATGTACAGTATTTCTGGATTTCGAATAATCTCATTAGTTGTAAAGTTGAACGATAACATCCACGAAACAATTTTTCGTGACTTAGGACCGCTGAAACAGTTAAACTTCTATCTGAGACTATCTGCTGAGTGAAATACGGATTTAAATTTAGGTTAGTTAAATCATCAAGCATGGGGTAAAAAGCAGATGATTCATAAGGCAATATAAAATATTGTTTAGAGCAATAAGAAACAGTTTTTGAATAAGTCTTTGTAAATCAGTCATAAATAGTTTAACTGAGGCTAGGCAGTAGCTAATCCCCATATTCGATGCTGTTTCAGAATAAAAGCTTCTAAGTAGTATTAGAAAAGGAAAATAACTTGAAACCAACTGATGCTCTAGGACACTAAAACGCGATATGATAGCACGAATTTCAACGATCTTTGATTTCATAACTGATATTTGTTATGTTGTAAAAGTCTACTGTTATGTCAAAACTAATGGATAAAATACAAACATCAACTTACGGAAAGAATTTCAATTACATCTGATTCATTCGTAATTGGTGTAAGCCTTTGGCATTCCTCTGATTGTGTGATTTTATTTTTAGATTGTGAAGCGAAATCTTGTGTTGTCTTATCTGATGGGTGACTTGATTTGTTAACATTTAGATGACGTAATTGGGCTTTTGTTCGGGGCCGGTTCATATTACTAATCATTACAGTATTATTTCTAGCAAGTATTGCAGATGGATTTAGAGTAAAATGGCTAGCATCAATCTCCATGTAACCGTGATCGGAAAGGTGACGAGGTGAACTCTTATTAAACTCTGGGGGATTTGTTTGTTTGCCAGATATTGTACATAATTTTGATGGTGAACACAACTTCGACATTGCCAAGGCCAACTGAATAGGGTATCTTAGTAGTGTACATTTTTTATGAATATACTCTCGTAAAACGGGATCATCGTTATATGACTCGCTAAGACCATTAGTTGATAAACTCAGAGGAATCGAAGGATAGTGATGAGTACCGTGAGGTGTTTCTTGAATAACGGTCATACGCCTAGACGAAACAGATAGTGCATGGAAATCCCCCATTTGTGAAACAGAGGTATCACTAGAACAGCTATTCTGAGTTGAGGAAGTGCAAGACGTGGTCGGCGATTTATACTTAGAATTTATAAAATCAGCACTAGCACCAATTACATTTGATATACATACACTCTGTGAAGGACCTGGAGCAGGATTTGGTGAAATCTGAATATCATTCCTGATTGATGAAGTGGCTTTGCAAATACCTGTTCTCTGATTCAACAAGTTATCAGCATGATCACCATCATGAATCAGCATAGAACCAACAGTTTTATTGCTGGTGTTAACAGTTTGATCATTAAAGTGTACATGAGATGTCGATGTATCATTAGCCTCAGGCTTGATTAATAATGAAATATTACTGTCATTACCATAAGACGCATTTCTTGTACGCGAAATTGTATCATCTAAAAGCGATAAGTAGCAATACATATTTTATGAAAACCCTACAGACCAATAAATGGTTTAATATTGTATAAGTAATCAAAATTGTAAAGGAATATTGTGGAACCGAGGTTTAGCGTTCCTGCCATACTGATATTTAAAATCAACTACGCAGTCCTTCTTTAATGAATAACCGCAAATGATATCAGTCTGTGATGTTAAATCAGGTAACTGACTATAAAAAACAAACCTGAAAAATAAGTAGAATAAATCTTTTAAGCTTGTGTTCACCGGTTCTATCAACTATTCAGAAGTGAAACAATAGGAATCCGAACAGTTTTGTCGAATTAATATCAAATATTCTTCCCAGTATTGAGCAGTGGTGGGCAATGAAAGCAAAAGAGATGGAAAAAGCGGCGACTATAGGGAACACAAGATAGCTTTACAGACTAATAAAAGAAACTGGAATTAATAAATCAAGTGTAAGTCAGACTATTTCGGAAAAAGACGACACCCTCATCTGCTCTCAGTCCAGACGTTTAGAACGATGGGCGGAACATTTCAGAGAACAGTTCAGCTGGCCTTCAGCTACTCTACAACTACTCTCCATTCCCAGACAGTGTGAATGGAACATTGAAGTAGGTCCCCCAAATCTTGCTGAAGTTCAAAAGGCTATAGTTAATCTGAAGCGAGGAAGGGCAGCTGGTCCAGATCGACTGGCTCCAGAGGTCTTTAAGGATGGTGGTTCAATTTTAGCGATTAGGTTGACTAATATTTTAGCTAGGATCTGGGAGTTAGACGTTATCCCATCTAACTGGTCACAATCACTTATCGTCCCAATATATAAGAAAGGGTCAAAATCATCCTGTGACAACCACAGAGGGATTAGTTTAACTAATATAGTATCTAAAATACTAGCTTCGATAATTATCAGACGCCTAAGACTCGTGAACTGCAAACACGAGAGACTCAAGCTGGCTTCAGACCTGGTCGTGGCTGCATCGACCACATATTCACCATTCGTCAGATTCTAGAACACAGGCATACTTATCGGCGTCCGACAATGGTGGTCTTTCTCGACTTAAAAGCAGCATTTGACTCGGTAGACCGCGAGATTCTGTGGCAGTGTCTGTCATCGAAAGGCGTACCACAGAAGTACATAAACCTTGTGAAGGCTCTTTACTCGAACACTACTAGTCGAGTCAGAGCTTATGGCGAACTGTCATCTACTTTTGCAACCTCAAGTGGTGTCCGTCAAGGCTGTCCACTTTCCCCATTTTTGTTTAACTTCATCATAGATCTACTGATGGAAATAACTTTCTCGTCGACTGAATTCTCGGGTATTGATCTCATACCAGGAGGTCCACTTGTTGATTTAGAATATGCTGATGACATAGTTTTATTTGGTGAAGACGCTGACAAAATGCAGAGTCTTTTGGTAGCACTGAGCAACAATGCCAGAATGTTTGGAATGCGCTTCTCTCCCTCTAAATGCAAGTTGTTGCTTCAGGACTGGTCTGCGTCAACACCTGAACTAAGGATAGGGAATGAAGTAGTCGAACGCGTTGGCAACTTCACTTATCTTGGAAGTCTGATCAGCCCTAATGGGTTGGTGTCTGTCGAAATCTCAGCACGGATTCGAAAAGCTCGATTGGCTTTTGCCAACTTGCGTCACCTTTGGCGAAGGCGAGATATCCGTCTATCAATAAAAGGACGGGTATACTGCGCGGCAGTCCGTTCTGTTTTAATTTACGGCAGCGAAACATGGCCATTAAGAGTAGAAGACACTCGTAAGCTACTAGTATTTGACCACAGATGCCTTAGAAATATTGCTGGCATCTGCTGGGATCACCGGGTAAGTAATAGTGAGGTTAGACGCAGGGTATTAGGGAATGATGGTAAATCAGTTGATGAGGTTATGAATCTTCATCGACTGAGATGGTTGGGCCATGTGTTACGTATGCCTGAACACCGATTACCACGACGTTCAATGCTATCCGGTATTGGAGATGGTTGGAAGAAAGTTAGGGGTGGCCAAACCAAAACGTGGCATCAGTGCTTGAAGACACTAACTTCTAGTCTGAGCCATATTGGTAGATGCAGACTACTTGGTCGGGGTCCGCGTGACTATCGTAACCAATGGTTGGAGACTCTTGTTGACATGGCTCAGAATCGTTCACAATGGCGTCGGTGTATACACTCCCTGTCTTCCCTTAAACTAAGAGATTAAAATCACTTCATATCTTTCTTTCTACGAACCAATTCTTTCTTCTTGTACTATATCTCTATAGGCAATTTTTCTCTTATATATTACCACCTTTGACCTAACCACTGCTGTGAATCCGGTGTTCATCTTGTGCTGATGCGGTATGGCAACCTGGACCGATGCACATATGTGCCTGGTCCTACGTTGTAGCTGACTGACTGACCCAGTAGTGAAATGTTTTTACTTAAGTCTAAGGTGAACCATGTGGATGTGGGCCTCAGAGAAAGAAAATCATTCAACACAACAAATAAGCAATTATGACTTTTCGAGAAATTAACTTGGAGACTGATACAAATTAGTGTTAGCCCGAGTAGCCGTAGCGGTACATAAGATGAGACTAATATAATGAACAAAGAATTAGGAATAATGGTAGTATCAACGATACCGTGAATGATGGAACATTTAGAACTTGATTCGAAAAGAATGAATAGGGAGAAGTGTATGAAGAAATACTAGAACTGGAGATTTAAAAGGGAATTAAAAAATAGATTTATTTGCGCCCCTGCAACTGATTTTGACATGTCACTCGACATCCCCCTACCAAATACTGACAGTGGCC